AACAACACGTGGCTGTCCCACACAGCCAGGGTGTTGATAAGCTTTGAGCTCAAAGAGCAGCTCCTGACCAAGGGCATGGACTCCCCCCACCCTGACTTTGTCGAAGCCCCGCCGTGGGCACAAAATTCGATAGAGTTCTCGGTCATGAGATTAGCGCTCAAAAAGACCGAATATCCCACGCCTGGTCTAAAGGCAGAGACCTACAGGGTCATATCAGCCATCACCCCCCCGGGTAGTAGAACCTACTACTACTACACGATCCAGCCAACCACACTGCAGGCGCCGGCTTTGCAGCAAGGGATGCCATGCGCTCCATGAGGGTATCAGACAACGCCTCCTCGCTACAGGCAGAGGCCGTTGCGATCATGGAAGCCCTAGCCCACGCGTCCCCACTGGGAGGACACGTAGTCATTCACACTGACTCTAGGGCAGCCATTGACTCTCTCAAGCTCAGCTCACCCAAAGACAATATCTACCTCCTGACCACAATATTAACGATAGCCCAAAGAATACTGGCTCAGGGTAGAAGAATCATCCTTAATTGGGTCCCTAGCCACGTTGGCATCAGAGGGAACGAACTTGCTGACAGACTAGCAGTCTCTGGCAGGGGTATGCCCCCTAGTCCCATGATCATTGCACCTAGCCGTAATTTACTTCGGATGAAGAGTACTGGTGTCGCCAACTCCTTCCTCCTGCAGCTTCACAGAGAGGCAACGAGATCCTCCCCCTCGGCCAGATGGTATTCAGAAGCAACGGGCTATGAACCTCTGGCACTCTCTGAGTTAAAAGACAGACAAACCGAAGTCATTCTCCACAGAATGCGCCTAGGTTACCACTGTAAATGGCAGATAATTGAGACCATTGTCCATGAAGAGAGGTGTTGCATGCATTGCGGCGAGCCGAACGCCACACTTATACATTACTTAGAGAATTGTGTACACACACAATTCCTGAGACAGGGACCCCCGACAACAGCCGCCGTGCTGATAAAGAGACTTTGCGATTCGCTTACCCCGTGGCAGCAGGAGCGCCTGCTGGCAATCCCACCGCCACGGTAAGCACCGAGAGCCACAGATCGAAATGAGTCAGCCCCAAAAAGCTGACACAGGCCGGGCCATAGCCGAAGGCCCGGGCGAAGCTAGAACTTCGCAAATCACAATCGATCGATCTTGCTTGAGTTGCGCACAGGCATCTGCTCGTTACTATGGTCGGACTATCCCTCAGATAACCGCCGTTGTTTTTTTAGATTTTGTCATTTTTTTGTGTTTTTTTTTCGTTTACGTTTTATGGATCTTACAGTGAGTCTGCAGTTGTATCAGGTATTGTGTTTATTTGTTTTATTTAAGATTGCCCATTTTTACGTGTATTTGTGTTTAACTTTTATTTTTCCGGAGGTTTTATTTTGTGTTCTCGCTTTTGTTTTAAATAGTAATAGTATTGAGCTTTGCCTTTTGTTTCGTTTTTCCAACTAAACATAAATGAAAATAAGTTTAATTATGATAAATAATGAAATGATGAAATCTGATGATAAATGATAATAAGTTGATACAATCTGAAGACTGTTGATACAGTGCAGCAGTGAAGTTTTATAGTTTATTTAACTCATTTTAATTCTTTCTATTTTAATAATAGCTTTAATTTATTCTTATTTCACTTTTACGTTTTATCAGTTATTTTTAATTATCTATATTTTTGATGAATGCTTTGAGCAAATGACTTTGTTTCACACATCTTGTTCTTTGACGCTACCAACTATGATACTGCACAAGACAAACGTCAAAGACTTTTACTCTGTGCCGGAACAGGAGGCCGGAGGCTTAGGTCTCGTTGGCTCCTACGGCCCCGCAAACTAGGGGGGAGACACAGACAACCCCTACAGTGTGTGTATGTGTCTGCGTGTGAGTGTGTGTGTGTGTGTGTCTGTGTGTGTGTATGTGTGTGTCTGCGTGTGTGTGTGTGTGTCTGCGCGCGTGTGTGTGTGTATGTGTGTATGTGTGTGTGTGTGTGTCTCTGTGTGTGTATGTGTGTGTGTCTGCGCGCGTGTGTGTGTGTGTTTGTGTGTGCGCGCGCGTGTGTGTGTATGTGTGTGTGTGTGTGTGTGTGTGTCTGTGTGTGTGTGTGTGTGCGTATGTATGAGTGTATATGCATGTGCTGTGTATTTATGCGTGCGTATGTATGTATACACATAAAAACATAAACACACAAACACACACACACACACAGACACCTACACACACACGCAGACACACACACACACACACGCAGACACACACACACACGCAGACACACACACATACACACACGCAGTCACACACACACACACACACACGCAGACACACACACATACACACACACACAGACACACACACACACAACGACACACACACACACACACACTCTCTCACACACACACACTCACACACACAGACACACACACACAAACAGACACACACGCAGACACACACACACACTCTCACACACACAGACACATACACAGACACCCACACACACACACACGCAGACACACACACAGACACGCAGACACCCACATACACACAGACACACACACACACGCAGACAACACACCACAGACACATACACAGACACCCACACACACACACACGCAGACACACACACAGACACGCAGACACCCACATACACACAGACACACACACACACGCAGACACACACATACACACACACATACACACACAGACACACACACGCAGACACACACACACAGACACACACACACACACGCGCAGCCACACACAGACACCCACACACACACAGACACACACACACACACACACACACACACGCAGACACACGCAGACACACACACATATACATACACACACACACACGCAGACACACACACAGACACACACACACACGCAGACACACATACACACACACACACTCACACACAGACACATACGCAGACACACACGCAGACACACACACAGACACCCACACACACGCAGACACACACAGACACCCACATACACACAGACACACACACACGCAGACACACACAGACACACACACACAGACACACACACAGATATCGCCATAACTCCGTTGCCCAGCCTGCTGTGTGAAAGCTTTGTCGCCGACTGTCTATACCCTGCCCTGTCTATACCAGCTATGACAGCGCCCTGACTGCCCTAGGCCTCGCCTCCCTCGCCACTCACTATACAACCTCACTGCAGCAGTTTGGCCTTAAATTGCTGTGCCATCCACGCCACCGTGACCTGCTGCCCCCCGGCGCACCGCCACCTCGCCGGACCCTACGCGCCGCCAACAAATGGGAACACTAGTTTACATTTACTGGTCTAGCTCCTAGCACACCTGATTCTGTACTTAGCTTTTCGTATTGTTTTTTGTTGTTGTTAGATATTGTTAGTTTACTTTGTTGTGTGTTGTTTTTATGTCTATGCTTATATAGTTTGTCTCTTTATCTATATTTCTATGTATATTTTCAGCCACTGGCTGCATGAAAATCAATAAACCGATTATTATTATTATTATTATTATTATTATTATTATTATTATTATTATTATTACAGACACACAGACACCCACACACACACACGCGCAGACACACACACACACACACAGACATACACACAGACACCCACATACACACAGACACACAAACACACACACACGCAGACACACATACACACAGACACACACACGCACACACACACAGACACACACACACACACGCAGACACACTCTCACACACACGCAGACACACCCAGACACCCACACACACACAGACACACACACACACGCAGATACACACACAGACACATAAACACCCACATACACACAAACACACATATACATACACACACACACAGACACACACACACACGCAGACACACATACACACACGCAGACACACACAGACACCCACATACACACAGACACACACACGCGGACACACGCAGACACACACAGACACACACACACGCACACAGACACCCACATACACACAGACACCCACATACACACAGACACACACACACACACACACACACACACACACACACACACACACACACACACACACACACACACACACACACACACACACACACACACACACACACACATACGCAGACACACACACACTCTCACACACGCAGACACAATAACAATTCCTTAAACTCCATTTCTCCATTTTTTCTCTCTTTCTCGTCTTCGAAATTCACCAATTTACAACTTCCCATAGTATGCTTTAGCCCAGTTACGGAATATGAGGAAACTGATGTCGCTTGTAAGGATATTTGTTTCCATATATTGTAGCATAGCATACTAAATTTCAAGTATTGTCAGAACTTGAGTGATTTAGCTTGAAAACGTGTTCTACCCTTAGCTTCTCTAAATATCATTTCCTACATACAAGCGGTTTAAAATTCATTAATAGGTGTTTTTCCTTTCAATATTATTTCCGTTCACTGGCAGAACCATATAATGTACAATGTAAATAAGGAATTATTAAGTTTATAGCTATAAACGAAATATATCACTTTCAAAAATATTTTAAAACTTGGTAATCTGTGCAATTAAATAAAGCAACTTCAAACTAAACTTAGGATTTTGATATTTACAATAAGAGTATACCATCATATTAGATTACAATATACTGAGAATTAATTTATTCAAATTTACTTATCTTTGTTGCATTAGTTGTGAATTTAGTTATTATTTAGATTATCCTGGAGTAACAAGAGAAATTTGTCAAATGGCTCATTGTCAAGCACAAGGCACAATAGGGCTTGTTCTGATCCTTTGCTTAGAATCTACATTTCAAGGAAAGATTATTGATATTCAAAAATGTTGATTTTTATAGCTGTATTGCACAAAATAATGGGTTATAACCTTAATAGTTTCCAGCAACTTTGTATTTTCACTTTATATATATTAACCAGGTACACCTTCCCTTTCATTCAAACAATTGTAAAAGGTATCATGTAAAACACTGCTAGAACTATAATTTTATTCGTATATATGTATATACATAATAGTTAAGATGTACAGAAACTCCTATGTACAACATGTACAAGGTAGCATAGGGAAGATGGAATGGTTTGTGATTTCTGGTAAAATATTCAGCATTTTTTCTGTGTCAAGTGGGGTTCTAATTAATTTAATTAATGATATATAAATATAAAATATTCATCAACAATTTCTGTCAACAATAACAAAAAAGTTTTACTGAAAATCCTCAATAAATATAATCAGACACACATTCAACTTGCCAGGTCCAACACAATCATTATCACTCCTCTTCACGAACCTTTAAACAAATCACAATCGTTGTATCTTAAACAATAGAAGTTCGCATTTCAAACTTCCTTGACACACAATATATATTGGCAAGTCAAGGAGAAATTTTGGATTTCTTACAGACCTCGTTTTCCTTTTCAATGCCACCCACACTCCACACATCAACGTTAAATTAGCAGTTTGCCTTTGATTTGTGTAACATAAAGCATCCTCCTGAGAAGAAATATACAAGGTAAGCTTCAACACAGTTACTATATGCAAATTCATGATACCAAAAAAATATATATATACTACTTACATAGGTAACTAATCACAGTGTGCAATTTTCACTTCAAATGCAACATCAAATAATAGTGACATCCACCACAATCAGAAGAAAATGCTGAATATACTGCAAGAACAGCTAGGCAAAATGGATAGATATTGCATAAGCACTAAGCCCTATGCCAGTCTTTACACTCTGAAGCTGTTATTGGCAACATAATGACCAGTATCTGAAAAGTAACGCTAAACTGCTGTTCAGTCTTTGTGTATAATACTGCTAAGGAAGTCGGGGCCTTCACAGATTTTGATATTCAAATTTGCTACATAACTGTTACTCTATGTACCACTTCCAAAATCACTAAAACGAGTAAAAAAGAAGAATTAAACGCATGCCATATCTTAAATACAAACAGTTCTCTTTCCGCTCGGATGGAAGCGACAAAGTTGAGAGAAATCCACTTTCTTCTTAGAGTCTTTTCACACACAAGACGCAGCAGAATCTGGTCCCCTATTAAAAAGAAAGGAAAGAAAAGGAAAAACTCCCGCAACTTCTCTTTTCTGCTCAGAAGAAAGACAGTCTGGAAGCGCTTTCTTTTTTTCCTTTTCTTTTTTAAGGATTCTTCAGTTTTTTTTTTTACTAGTCGTAGCTCTAAACACATCTTTTTTTGTTTTTTGGTCGTTTTTTTTTTTTTTTTTAATCTGAGGAAGGAATAGTATCACAGAGTATTGAAGATATACAAGATTTTCTATCAAGTTTCCTTTTAAACACCTAATTAACATAAAGGAAGAGTAAAAAAAATAAAATGAAAAAAACAAAAATTAAAATACAACCACAAAAGAGATAACAATAATAAAATAAACTGCTCAAACTAGTGACACAAATGTAATGTTTTGTGCTATTTGTGCCACAGCATGCAAATGATTTCACATTAGAAAAAAAAATAAATAAATAAAATAAAATACAGAAAAAAAAAAAACATCATAAACACTGATAGAAATACTTACAGGATTAATCACATTAAATTACACTAAAATCTCCTTCTAAAACCAGAAACTTAAAGCTGAAAATATCTATCTCTATAACTGGAATCCACTGTAGTGAAAACACGTCTCATATGGAGATTTACAAAAAAATAATCATCAGGATTTGTCGAAGGGGATTGTCCCACTAAATCACGTGAAGGATAACATACTTAAAAGACGAGGGGAAAAAAAAAAAAAAAAAAAAAAAAAAAAAAAAAAAAAAAAAAAAAAAATTTCGGCCTGACAGAAGATTCACGATTCTATATGATACGAAGGTTAAATTAATCAAGAACTAATTAGCTAAAATATATAAAAAAATAAAATAAATAAAAATAAACCTACAGGAAAACATCCATCTAACAACCATCGATTCCTTTCTTAAAATACGTAAGTGATTTCAGAGGTAAGTACGTATATACATCGAGAAAAGAGAATAATACGAAAGGAAAACAACAACAATGTAACTATCAAATAATTCAAAAAGCTTTAACCATCACTTGTAGAAGTAATTCAGGTATCTTTTGATTCTTGTGATGATTGGTGTGCACAAGTAGGGTGATCTCAGAAGCTGGAACCAATACAGAGACTGTGGAAGTATTATTTGAACTACAGTTATCAACATTCCTAAAATAATAATAATAATAATAAAAGAAGGAAAAGAAGAAGGAAAAAAAAAGAAATTGATAAATTAAGTACTCCTTATGTAATAACCTAAATGTTATATTTACCGATCCTGCCATATCAATGATTAACAGCAAATGAAAGCTGGCCTCAACAGCCTTAACAGGACCACTACAGAACCACTAGGCTGCTGGTGTACTAAAACCAAATTACTGATGATCATGTATAGGCTACATCAAGTGTCAAGTTAAAGTTTTCACTCCTTGTCACTGGCAAACCTCTTTCTAGTACACCACACAACTAGGAACTCTGTCACAGGTGGTAACACACTAATTGCAAATATCTTTCACTGGAATTTGACAGCACGGGGGATCAGAAAATTGTAGTTTTGTGCTTCTCAGTAATTCACAAAAGCCGGTGGTTATGAACAATATACAACTTATACTGCAATCCTCTACAGATACACCACAAGAAAAAAAAAATGTTGGCATTCCCTAAGTACAAAAATTTACTAATCATTGCTATAGGCAAGAGTAAATTGCTGTATTCATAATAATTCAACTTACATACACAAACCCTTTGACACAAAGCAAATCTTACAAAGCAAGCAATTTCTCCCAAAACAATCTAAACATTTACTTGGAGCAGATCTGTGTTCCTTAAATGACAACAAATCTTTGGTTGTGTTTATATCTTCAATCTTGCAAGACTGAACAGTAGCAGTAGTAGTATAGTTGTACAAGGACCACTAAATCATAACAAAAGTATATCCTTAAGAGTGTTAGCCTTTCACAACACGTGCCAAGATTTCTTTTTTTCATCTGAATACTAACAATGATACTCAAAAAAGGTGGACAGGTTCCAAGCCACTTGAAACATTTACTATTAAGTTTTCCATAAATGAACACTGCTGTTGTCTGTTTACATTGTATAATCACAAATAAAATTTTATACAAGTTATGCATGGAAGAAATGATGTGTAAGGCATCACATTTCATCTCACGAAGATGAAGAGAAGACAGTGAGCATCCATAAATTCACTGTGAAAGCTGAGAGTAAATTGAAATGTAATCTTAATTATCTGGTTACAGGAATACTTTAATCCACATTAATAATATATAGTACTTTCCTGCAATCAGGCTTTCTCCACTTATCTATATCCATGAACATCTATTCCTGTTATCTTATAATGTGCAAGAATTGGCATGATTTTCTACCTGACTAATAATTTGCTATTCACAGTTCCACCAAGCCTTAACAGATATGATTCGTGCTCCGTCAGGTCCATAGATATCATCATTAATATCTAAAAAAAATTTGCACCTTATTTTGGCATGCTACACAGGAACCCTTTTTCCTAACTATTGATAAAATGTACATACAGAACACCAATGATGAAAAATATATATATTATCTCTTTTTGCATTCAAAAACAATTAATAACCATAGTTTACATTTACTCTTGCTAGTGCATTTGATATCAATTTTATAAATAGTAACCAAATGTAGAGAAATTCTTGTTTCATCACAAACCTCTTAGAGCATAACATGAGTGAGTTACTGTGTTCATTTGTCTGTTTCTCTGTGTCCACGTGTTTGTGTGCCTCTGTATGTGTGTCTATCTGTATGTGTGGGTGTATCTATTTATGTGTGTGCCTATCTGCAAGAATGTGTATCTGCATGCAAGTGTGTATTTGCATGTATACCTGTCTGCATGAGTCTGCGTGAGTGCATGGGTGGATGTTCTTGAGCCAACAATGTATGGTATATAACAGTCATCATCAAGAACACCTGAAGCAGACTCATCACATGGGTTACAGCTTGAAATGGGTTACACCTCTCTCTGGACAGACCAAATGACTTCAGTCTGTTAAATCACTAACACTCAGAGTATGCATTAGTAAATGCAATAGATTGGTTTCTTCTCTTTTTTCCAGCACACCAATATAGGAATACATTTATCACAGTACAAAGTCTGTTGGAAAAAAAAAAAAAAAAAAAAAAAATCAATGAATATTCATATTAGTATCATTTATCAAACATATTCCAAGTTTAGATAATCAGGTTAAGAACCAATCATGTATTCCTCATAGCCATGCAGAACTAAAGCTTTGGTCAGCAATTGCAAACTCAAGACAATTTATTTGAAAGCCCCTTCTAATTACAAATTCCTTTTTTTTTGTTTTATTTTACCTACATTACCTTCACTGTGTAAAAATAAGGCATTCTATATTCACAGACCTTGTGCTTCTTGCATGTGACCAAGAGGGAAACTTTTTTCTCTCTCTTTTTCTTCTTCAAATCCCCTGGTAATTACAGAAGTAATGTTTAAACCCTTTCATACTTACTACAAATGCAGCAACTTCTGCAACTACCCTCCTTTCCCTTCCTTGGTACCAAGAAGTCCACCTACTGTCAAGTTTAGGTTTTAAATCTACCATTAGCAAATATGTGACCTGCTTATATACTTTTCTGTTTACTTTCTTTTTGGCATTTAGTTAGTTTTGAGTGAAATGGTAATCCTCATGGTAAACACAGATCTTTTACATTCTGTCCAACCCTAAACCTTCTTACAAAGATACTTAAAAAATTAATTATACATCTCAAGTGGTTACTTTTATCTGTACATCATGCAGTTGATTTTTTTTGCATCCACGACAGTATAATTCAAACTAACAAACTATAGAGGAACTAAATATGATACAAAATCTACATCAGGACTAAAGACCTCTTCTCCCCATGCTGGATCAGCTTAAATTAGTTCAAGACAAGGAAAGCAAGTTAATCAAAGAAAATAAAGATTGAAGATTATCTATCCCCCCTTTCTCTATTCACAAGACACTTTTCACCAAGAAAATTCATAATCACAAGTGTATGCCATGAACATTAGCATTTCAACATCCAACTATAGAGAATCTTGCCAGTCACAGCAAGACAAAACCATTTTGCTTGCTATTAACATTTGTAACTTTCTCCTCTCCTTTCCATATAGGTTTCAGCACTGTACTGCAATAGTACAAACATAATAAATTAGATGCATCAGTTATCTTAAGCTATCTAGGTAGAGAATAATTCAGAATATTCTGTCAAAGTAAATATTATCCATAATATTATAAGAATGTTTATACATCATCAGTCACTTCACCAGCATACACATTTTTTATTTCCCTTTCACAGGTGTCCTTATGTGAAACATCTCACAAGACTTGAGGTGAAAGAATTGCTTGCAGTTGTATGAAATTATTTGTAAGCACAGACAGACTTCCACTGAGCAATAACCTGCAATTTGTCATACTTGGTCACTTTTAGCAGTTTGAAATCACATTAATTTTCTAAATGTGGTCATTAACAATATATTCATCGTCGCCACCATGTTTAACAATTTTCCTTTGGCAATCAGAACTTAAAACGTACAAGAGTGCCGACGACCAATAAATTTCAATCAAATTGCTATTGTATAAAAAGTGCTCTCAATTGCCTGCAGCAAATAAGGAAAAAAAAAAGGGGGGGTGGGGGTGAATGACGACCAAGACAAAGACAACAAGAAGACTTAAAAGAAACAACAATCAAAAACTACCTTCACAGAAGATAAAAAAGGAAAAAAAAGAAAAAAAAAAAAGCCCACTCTATTTCTTGAGATTAACATGATGCATTCCATCCTTAGGCCTCCTGGGTGGGGGCATGGGGCTCTCAGGGGGGGTGGTGGCAGCTGCGGCCGCTCCGGCAGAGGTCACTGCCGAGGACACCTTGCGGGGGGTCTTGAAGGAGAGCTTCTTGTTGCCGCGGGGGGATGAGCCGCTCCCGTCGTCATTGCTGCTTATGTGGTCCATCAGGAGGACACCTGGGAGAAGGACGAGGCCAAAATTAGCTCTGATCAGATCCTGGAGAGATTTTGTAAAAGTTTCTTACAATTGCTTACCAATTCATCCTAAACAGTAACAATACTAATAATAATGATGGTGGAAAAGATGATAATAGAAGCAATATCAATAGTGAAGATGGTGTAATAGAGTGAAAAAAATCTATAGTAGTAGTAATAATAGTAATAATAATAATAATAATAATAATAATAATAAATGATAATAACGATAACAACAATGACAATGACAATAATAAAAAAAAATAATGACAATAATAATAAATAAGACAACATTAACATTAACAATAACAATAGTAATAAAAATAATGATAATGATAATAATATTAATGACAATAATATATTTTTTGTTATTATGATTACTGTTATTGTCATATTTGTTATTATTATAATGATATTAATAATAATAATAATACAAATAATAAGAACAAGAAAATGATAATAATCAATAAACTAACAATATCAACCATAATAACAATAATTAGTAATGATAACAATAACAATCATATTAATAATAACTAATGATAACAATAATAATACTAACAAGAGCAAAAACAGACATGAGCTTTTGTGTGCATGTCTTCCCCTGTGTTGACAGAGCAAAGTTTCAAAGGAAGAAAAATCTTGTTTCAACAACACAACCAACAAAGAATTAGAGAGCTCCTACCATATTGTAGATTAAAAAAAAAAAGAAAAAAAAAAAGTCTGTTGGCTAAAAACAAAAATGAAAAGGCACATGAACAGACATTGCTAAGCCATTACCCCATGAGAAGAGCTTAGGAGTCACATTTCTAAACACAATAGACAATATTCAAAATGACAGTTTTAGCTCTGTCTTACATGTCAACATCTATAATAGAATTTCCCAGCATAGAATGTATCATCTGCAAAGGCAATTTTGTGTAATTACAATAATCTATTATCCATTCTCGACATACAGAGAGACCAACTACCTCAAGACTTTAAGTGCTGTCTTTCGTAAACATTCACTATCAACTAGTAAACGTGTGATAGGAGGTAAACAGACTAGACAATTCCACATTTAATTGTTCATGAGTTATTAGAACTATAATTGAGAACGAGTTTAGTGGGAATAATTAACTAATAATACATGATCAGACATGCAATAATAGCATCTCACTTTATTTTTAATACATATAAATATTCTAGTCTCTAACTCATGCAAAGTCTGGTTTTACTGAAGTAGATGCTGCTCCCTTTACACCAAGTTACTATTAACAATGATGTATTTTATGTTAGGTAAAGGCACTCATCATATAGTTATGTAATGACTTGGCAATAACAAAATTTGCAAGAAGATGGCTGTCAAAATAAGAGGATACAAGAAAAGTATGACTGTTGAAAGATCAGAAAAAATAACTAAAAAACAACTATATAAATAAATACAGAATGAAAGTCAGACAATATTGGTGAAAGAAAATGTAGTCACAGTAAAGAAACTTTGTACTAATTTTTTTTATTACTATGACAGTTCACTTCAATATTGTTTACATGTCCCTGTATTCATATCAATAAAGAGTTATTAATAATTTTGGTATTCACTAGAAAATCAGCAAAATAAACATGAATTCACAAGAAGTGTTGAAAACAAGCAAACTTGTGTCTCCTTTGAAGTCTGAAGATGCAATGAAGCTCATTTCTTAACCCTTAAAGAATGACACAGCAATCATCACATTTATGCATGACCATTACCTATGGGCATAATATCGCCAAACTGTGTGTCATATACTGGGCAAAAGATAACAAAGACTTACTTTACCTGTTCAATTTTCCATTTCTTTATCACAAACTTTCATCTCATTTTTTCTGCCCTCTTGAACACAGAGTTCTGAGTCTTTCAGTCCTTTAGGGGTTAATCAGCTAAATAATAAAACTGTTGTGAATGCATGATTCTTGTACAGCTCATTAACGAGGAAGGTTGTGTTTCCTCCTCCGTGTATTTTGTTGTAAAAATGAATAAGAATGTAGATGTTCTTGCATAAAATATAAATCAATCAATTTAATTAAAAAAAAAAAAAAAAAAAAAAAAAAATCAGAAGTTTTGTAACCGTTCTGTACATGTTTTAGTATTTATCAGTGTGCATGTGCATATACATATATCCATGTATGTTTGTATATGAATGTATGTTTTCTTTGGAGTACAGAAACATATATCTTACATGAAAATAAAATTCCCAACATCAGTAATAGGACTGGACATTCCTTCATATATCTTCAAAACTTAAGGATCTCACTGTGAGAGACTAAGATAAATTAACTTGAAATGATATTAAATTAATGTAACACCATGTAAATAATCCTTGTAGATAGATCTCTCAGCAACATAGTTGCTCAAGAAAACAGAAAAATAACTGAAATAAGAAAAAAAATATACATCTTTTTTAGGCAGTGGGTAAAAAGAAAACATTTTATAACAAAAACATTATAAACAAACATAAAGTTTGTTAAAAAAACAAAACAAATAAACCAATCACCAAAACAAAAAACACACAAATCATCAACCCCACAATAAAACGGATAAAAACAGGAGCAACTCAAATCCTGAGACATTTCCTTGGATGGCAACCTCCAAGGAGCTCGTTTTCATTTCCACAGTGAAGGATCTGAAGGAATTTTTGTTGTAGGACATACACAGCATACCATGGTGTTACTGTGTAGATAACAGGCTGAGGAATCATTATAATTACTGTCACACTAAGTGGTTATCACGAAAGAAGGGTAATCTAGTAGTAATGTACATTTCAGAATTAACTGAATGAAGAAAGGGGGTATGTCATAATGTCAAAGAGAAGAAAAATAAAGAGCAAAATGTGTGCTGGAATCAAACTGTCCAATCACCGTATACCGTCATGCACAAACATTGTGAAAGCACTGTCAAGAACACATTACACACACCACACAACACACCTATCTGATGTCTCACAAGATTCGCAGCACTGCTGGCTGTAATTGTTGTTCAACTTTCCATGGGGTATGGGGAAGCTCTTGCTATATGCAGAGTTTCGACGAATGCTTCCCAGCATTTGCCGAACTCCTGTGAGCAGTTAATATCACTTACTTTGATAGGATATTACATACACTTCTGTGCTTCAAAAGATGATCATGAAAGTATGAAATATTTCTTTAACAATCATAAAACTAGATGTAAACAAAAATAAATATCCAGTTTCAAAGTTAATGTAAACAAATACATGTAACTGAAATCACTAAACAAAGAAAAAACATCACAGTCACCAAAATTACACATAAAGAGAAGAAGCACAGTGCTGTAACTTTGAAGACTTATCCTTTGCTGCTCTAAATTACTTTCACGAACATCTTGCGTACTGCAGACTTTCTTCTTTCACTATTAATGAAGACTGTAGTTTTACTTTTCCAAAAAAAAAAAAAATCTGAACCACACTCAGTCTATGGAGGCCTGGAGGAAAACTTGCCTCTCAATTACTATTTCAAAATTTCTTTCATTTCCAAATCATGGCTGCAGCATCCGACCAGACATAATGACTTGATCTGTTAGTGCACTACCTTTCACCTTTTTCTCTTTTTTTTAAGATATAATATATATTTAAATATTTTTATCAATAACAGCTGACTTTATAAAATTGATTTCCCAGACCCTGACACTGAATTATTTCATATATGCCACAGTTACCTAATGTTGTATAGGCTTCTTCTGTTGAATCAATACAGCTAACTTTGTTTATTTCACAATTTTGTATATTAATTCATTTTCAGGTTGGTTTCCTATGTCAAATAAGTAAAACAGCAATGAATATCATCCATACACAAAAAAAGTGTTCATTATGCACAACAAGGCAACAACACAAAAATAAAAACAGTAATTAAATCAATAAAACAAGCTAAAAACAACAGCAGCAGCCTCATGAAGATGATGACAGCTCTCGTCACAAAATCAATATAAAACTACAAAACAAAAATATAGACACTAGCACAGGAAGTGTATGTATTAGGATTTTGTACCTATATTTCACAACCTGAACTCCTTTCACCACATTGCATTGTTTGCCCTTAGCACCGAATAGGTTTTCTGTGGTTGCCACTTGTTCGACAGAATTTTTTTTTTTGCCCATATAATTTTCACCAACAGTAAAATCAATTTGTTCATATAGACCATACCTTTAATTAGAGCCAGGAAATATAAAAAAGGGTTTTCAATGCTCTTGAATTTAACCCAATGCTGCTGGGAAAAATGAATAAAAAATGGGGAAAATGTTGTGCTTGTTTTTTATATTTTTCTTGTGAAATGTCTCTGCACATAGAAGGTTCTGCTAGTGTTTAGCCACAAAGGAGTCAATTAGTAGAACTTATGACCTTACCTGATTTAAATCGGTGGGAAAAATATACTTTTTACTAGTGCTATGAATGCTGATGGTGTTATTTTGATTATAAACATTATAATTACCATACTACTATAAAGGGTAAACAGGCCAGACAGGCAGTACTCGTCATTAGCTCATTGGTAACTTAGTACAAGTGTAACCATCTATGTGAAAAAAACAATTAAACAAGTAACTCACAGTGGACACGTCACAAACGTACACGTCATGCCCGTCGGCAGTGGGTTAATAAAAGATTTGAAGAGGACATATACTCTAGAATGATGACAAAATGTCCTCATCAAAACACAAAAAAAGACCTGTACTCTTGTATCAACAGCATATGTACTAAGTTGACTATTGAGACTTCGTCTCTGTAATCTGGTGCAAAAAGCAAAGAATGCAGTCTGGTACTTAGAAGGGCTATAAATGTGTAAGGAACTTAAAATTAACTCCATTCCTACTTATATACAGTATATCTAAAAATCACGAAGAACCTTCCAAAAACGACAAATTGACATAAAAAAATAAACATATGTCAGTACTGGTGATTTATAGATTAGATGTGTGCCCAGTGAAAAGCACACGACAAAACCAAACACTGTACGTAATGCCACTATTCAAGCTTACAGACACTAATTCCGGATTTTTCAAGTTCATGTAACAAAATTGCTTCCATGACAGTCTTCTTTCCCATCTTTTACATTCCTCATTTACTCATTAGCTCTTGTGACTTCTACTTCTTTGACAACCTAGGTAGGGGAACCAAAAAATACATTTCCTAATCATATTCATTCCCAGCACTGAGTTTAAAGATAATACACTGTGCTCTGGTAGTAGTCTTGAAATCTTGTTTATATCATGAACAGAAAACTAACCACATCCACGCAATCAATTTCTCTGTTTGGATCAAACTTGCCGCTCCTTTTGAGTCTCCTACATTCTCACACATTATGGTAGCAAAAAACAGAATATGAATATGATCTTATTTGTTTAGAATACTGAAAATTATACTCTTAAGATTCTGTCACCAAATTTAAGTTAAAGTCTTTGCTTTCTTTCCATTTATACTCACCTTCACTGCCCTATTTAAACCCTATCTCTCTTTTTTAACCTTGTCTAAAACTCGTCACTTAACACCCTCAAGAAAAAAAAAAGTCCTGCCAACACTCACCTTTATGAATATTTGGGAAAAAAAATAACAATCATACATGAAGCATTCTAAACTTTTAGCAAATGTCTGTTCCTACACCAAGATAAGAAATCAACACTCATAAAATCATTCACAAACTGCCCAACTCTTCTAGTTAAATAAAAGTACAACTGCTATAAGAAAATCATACTAAGACACATCAAACAAGAGATAAACAAATGCTGCTGCAAAAATCTAGCACACTAAAAAAGAAAAAAGAATAAGAAGAAAACCAATCAATAAATAAACATAGCAGAATGCTGCAAAGGAACCTAATCCACTAAAATAAAAACAGCCTGCTCTACCACTTCAAACTCCACCTCGCGAACACTCACTCCTCGCTTTCTCCCGAAGGTGGTGCTGCTCCCCGGTGGAATAGCTGGTGGGCCTGGTCAGTGGAGGTCTCTGGGGGGGCCCAGGGGGTAACTGGGGGTCGTCCAGGAGGGCTGCCGCTAGTCCCGACACCCCTGAGCTACCGCCGAAGCCGCCCATGGAGGAGTCAAACACCCGCGATGAGAAAGAAGTCCCTGGAAAGAGCGTTTGACCCGATTAACACAAGTACACAAGGTCAGAGATAAAATTTCTCAATATATCAAAACTGGAAAATGGCAGTGCCAGAATCACTATGAGAGACAGAGACAGAGAGAGAGAGTGAGAGAGAAGTTGTGTGTGTGTGTGTGTATGTGTTGTGCTCCTGTATGTGCAGATGCATGTGTATGTGTGTATATCATTTGTGTATGTGTCTTGTTGTATGTTTATGTGTAAACATGTGTGCTTGCATATTTGTCTTTCACATGCACATACATGTGCATGAGTGTGTGTGCATTTATGTATGTGTACATGTGTGTACCTGAGTGTTATATGAAGTGAATTGTTCATCTCAAATTGTCTATATAAATAGTATTACAGTCAACTAAAGCAAAATATCATATGCTATCTACCCAAAAATCAAAGCTTACTTAGACTCACAGTCCATATCATGCATCAGTGATACAGTACAACAGTACCATGGCTTAGTTCAGACACATGGCAACTTCATACTGTATTAATGAGGATGAATATATTCTTATTTTGATAGTACTTCCATTTATATATATAAATATATATATATATATATATATATATATATATATATATATATATATATATATATATATATATATATATATATATATATATATAAATATATACATGAACTGATCAGTTTTAGGATTCATATTTTCTGACCTACAACATCTATATATGCTTTTCAAATATAGTAAAAGGTATTCTGAAAGAAAAAATACAAAACAATTCATTTCCTCAAAACAATGTCCTAAAAACATTTCTATTCTTTATACACATTTGGTATCTCCCTTCCCCTATTCTGGGATGCACATAAAGATTTTCAATATCATCCTATTAGATAATGCTACAGGTGGCTTTCAGGTGTGCAGCCTTTATCACCCTTATTACCTAATCAGTACTGCCTAATACTGTTTTGTTAGCATTCAATAATTCTACATATATCTACATATAATGAAGAAGACTCTACTCACAGATGTGTTAATATATATATATATAAATATCTTCTCCATATTTTAAGTATATACTGGATTCAACTTCACTCAATAAAGTTTAATTTCACAGAAATTAAAATGTGATTCTTTAGTTAAGTAGGGAAAGCCAAAAATATAAATCACATTTCCTACATCAAGCTGCCTTTTTCTAGAACGCATTCCTTATTTTATATATGTAATTATAGTAAGTATCCTTACTATTCCTGCCTAGCCTATTATAAAAACTAAATGAGACAATGGTATTAAAAGGATTCAATAAAAATACTTGCAGCTGATGTTCCCTCTCTCTCCTTAGAGCAACTGCATTTCTGCCCACATTTACGTCATCATCTTATGTGCCTACTTCATAACCTATTATCTATAAGGGTTTGAATGCAAAAAACTGCACTAAGTTTACTGGACTACCACTCATTTCAGTGCAAAAACTCTTTTACCCAAGAAAAGCAATCTGTGGTATGCTGAAATTTACCCATGATATAAAACTGCTACAATACTCATTCTCCATATCTTGCTATACATGAGATGGAGAAAATATTGTTTATTCCCACAAAAATGATGGTAACAAGTAGCCAACAAAATACCAATGACATTGAGACATCTACAGAGGAGAAATATTTAGACGAGACATCCCACAGAGCACAATAATGCCCTAATAACATTAGGACATTATAATCATAATCATAATTTTGCATTATGTACATATACTCCAAAACATGTTGGTCAACACTACTACATACGTAATTTACTGATGCTATTCACTATACTACATGGTCTAAAATTCATATTTAAGGGGGGGGGAAATTCTGGAGGTAAAAAAGAAAAAGGAAATGATGGAAACATTTGCTACAGAAATGCCTGCATCTAAATACCATACATAGAAAGCAATAGTGTGTGCATGTAACCCTGCACAAACAACTTGCTACTCTTTCCAAAAGGTGAGCTATTGCATGCTAATTAAAAGCTGTCTTCCTGAGATAACCAACCTCACAGCACCAGTACGCTTACAAGGCCTGAGTTACACTAGGTCCTCTTCACTGGGGTTGTAGGGCAGCATGCTCCCTGTTGCAACAGAATGGTGCACAGCAAGCTTAGGGTATGTAGCAATTGGCAAGATGCTGGCTGGGAACTTTGCAGAACAATAATGCAACTGAATAACAGTATGTATTTCATTTTCACTTCATAATGGATTTTGCTTTGAGATCGTGTCATTCTTACAATCTACGGGAAACAGACACCGACATTCCAGCAAAATACACACGACACTGTGAAAAATCATACAGTTCTGAACAATGATCTAGACTGAGCCAGCACAAGAAATACTTATGAGAAGAATACTAACAGCAGGTGCTATGAAAAAAAAAAAAAAAAAAAAAAAAACACGTAATTATCGAGGTGTTATTAAATTGCTGAAGAAGTTGCATTGTTTTGTTTTTGTTTTTGTTTTTTAAAGGGTAAGTACGACTATCAAAAGGGGATGTTTGGTAGAGTGGAGGGGTGGGGGGGTGGGGGGAAGGGAGCTATTACACATACCATGCAACTCAAGTGTTATCCACCCCTCTATATATCAATCTTGTACAGATATACTGGAAATTACTCTATGGAAAAGTATAAATACCTTCCTTTCTAGGCAACATCTGGACACCCTATGAATCTACATACTTCTCTATGTAAAAATATTAGATGGAAAAGCTTCTCTGCATTGATACTAAAAATCGTTGGGACTTAATTCACTAATTAAAAGTCTTTAGTGTCATTTGTACATCATAACTACACATAAAAACCCTGAACACAAAATTAAAGAGTGACAGCTACATTAAATATGAATGGCTCTCTACTTAAAATGCTATCTTGACAATGAAGATATTACATCTGTGTATGCCTGCACACGCATGTGTGTGTGAGTGTGTGAGTGTGTGAGAGAGAGTTTGTGTGTGTGTGTGTGAGTGTGAATGTGTGAGTGTGAGTGTGAGTGTGAGTGTGAGTGTGAGTGTGAGTGTGAGTGTGAGAGTGAGAGTGTGTGTGTGTGTGTGTGTGTGTGTGTGTGTGTGTGTGTGTGTGTGTGTGTGTGTGTGTGTGTGTGTGTGTGTGTGTGTGTGTGTGTGTGTGTGTTGTGTATACAGGCATGCATTTGTGAAAGTGTGTTCATGTGTGTGTATGCATTTTACGAGAAACACTTAGTGATATACTTCCCCTCAGTATCATTTACTGCAAGTTTAATCAACTATAAGGAAACAATGATCAAAACAAGAGAGAGCAAGCGAGAGGGAGATATCAAAATGGGCTTAAAACTATATACAAAACCTACTTTAACCTCCCTAATTACTTCATTTAAGAATTATTTTAAAAAATCATATATGCAAGACATTTTGAAAATTGTCCAAATATCTGCAACACATCTACATCTTGCAAACTCTTGGATATACACTGTATTATAATAAACACTGTCATATCCAGCAATAAATAAAAATTCTCTACAAAAAACTTATCTTCTCACTTTTAAACTCCATAAAAAATATAACAGATATAACAGCCCTGGATCTTCTACGATTGTAGATTCCATTTAATTATTTAATACTGAATGGAATATGTACTTCTATATCTCTCTCTTTCTATTTTATCTCTCCCTTCCTTTTTCACTAAATTTAAAATATTTTGAACTTTCTAGATCATTCTTAATATAATAACCTTCTCATGAATACCCTATATTTGAACAGAAATAACTTCAGGAACAAGAAGTACTGAAGATATCACAAGGAAGACCTGTTTTAATATAACCTTTATGAAACTAAATATCATTCAAGTCAAAGTTGTAAATAAAGTAACTTGACTCATATTTCTTATAAATAAACTTGACACATCTTTCTCAATCATTATTTGTCGTGACACGGGTACTTAGCCAGCAATAAAACTATACATTTTTTCTTTCTTCTTTCCCCTTCTGTACATTTCATCCAAAAATGTTGTCATGTCATTCTTAACACGACAAACAGCTTAAAAACAATTTGCAAAAAACTTCTTCGCAAGCAGTTTCGGTTACCAAGGTGTCCGTGGAGGTGGAAGGTGCGTCTGCATATGTTCAATTTGCATCTAAGAACTCATCTGGAAACTAAGGCATAATAGCAAAAACACACTCATCTCAGTGATGCCTTGGCTCGATCTCAAGGTGCTAATCCACTGCTGCTTACCTGGAGATCTACTTTTATCTGTGTCATATGAGGGAAGTGAAAAGCCTTTATTTGTATTACCTCCCCAAAGGAGAGAATTATTGTTTTTGCAATGTCAACATCTGGTGGTGAATGAAAATTTTGTGGCAAAATGTCTAGACTCCTTTTGGCCAATTCTGTGTAATTTTGTTGTAAATTCTACTCTTGCTAAATAAACCTTGCAAGTTTGAAAATGATCTTTCACCATGTCATATAAAAACATATTTGTCCAAAAATATTAAAAATAATAAACAAACAATAAAAGCTTTTTAATCACATTTTGCAAAACGGTTTGAAGCACATGGGTTCTGCAATATTCTTCTTTAAAACATGCAAGAAGCTCAATTAAACCCATTCTTTTCACTTGCAACATGAATAAGAATATTTGGCCTCTTCACTTTCATAACAAGAATTTTTTTTCATGTCCACCAAAAATATATATCAATAACTTAATATCAGTTCTCCAAGTCATGACAGCCTTTACCTAAAAAAAATCTTGGATTTCTTTTAAAACAGCAGGAGCTGATTTGAGGCATTTAACATCTATGTTTAGTAGCAGATACACCAAGCCCTTTGATAATATAGTTTTTTACTGTTATCATTCCTCTATTATGGATTACTATCTTGAATCATCACTAAATTTCAAATAATCCTTACAACCTCATAACATATCTACAGAGTTCCTGATAATACTTGTGCAAAAAAAAAAACATCACACCCATTGACATCAGAACCACCAGAACACAACTATTTCACTGCAACCTTTCTTAGCCATTTCAGTAACAGCACTCACCTGAGGCGCGAGTTGGGCCTGAAGTGAATGTCGCGGGGAAGACGGGGCAGTAGACAGATGATATAAAGGCCTCGAAGGTTGTGGGTTCACTATACTGTTCGATGATGGTGTCAAGAGCCCTTGCTCGTTCTTCATAGCTGCATTGAGGAGGTTTTAGAGTCAATCACAATAATCTATACTCCCTTTACTTTATCTATTTCTATCTATTTTTTTTTTTTCACTGTCAAGATGTTTTCATTGGCTTTTCTTTCTAATCCGAGTTCTAACAATACGTCTAGTTCAAACATCATTTACATAAATGCTTCCTAACTTTGAAGAGTATCGCTACAGAACTTCAATAAATGAAAAATATGTTTTCTGCCAACTTTATTCACAAGACTTCCCATAAATCTCTATCATTACAAGTCTTTGAAGACATGGTTAAGGCATCCTCCTTTTCACAACCCATTTCAACAAAAGCCATATACTCACAAGTTCTGGTAAAGTGCCAATCTACTGCGTTTGGCTCTTGAAGCATTGATTGCGGTGCTGCGTACTAGGCCTGGCAAGACCTTGTGAGCTACCATAGCTCCATCAAATAATGGGCCAAAAAAGGGTACCTATAAAAATAATAATTACATATTAATAGACACACACACACACACATATACATAAACTTATAAGAAGTATAAATATCTACACACACACACACACACACACACACACACACACACACACACACACACACACACACACACATACACACACTCACTCACTCACTCACTCTCACACTCACTCACTCAACTCTCTCACTTACTCACTCACTCACTTACTCACTCACTCACTCACCCTCATTTACTCTCACTATCACTCACTCTCTCTCATTCACTCACTCACTCTCATTAACTCACTCACTCTCTCTCATTCACTCACTCACTCTTCCTAACTCACTCAATCATTCACTCACTCACTCACTCACTCTCTCTCTCACTCACTCATTCACTCTCACTCATTCTCACACACTCACTCTTACTCACTCATTAATTCTCACTCACTCACTCACTCATTCATTCTCACTCACTCATTCATTCTCACTCACTCTCACTCACTCACACTCACTCACTCATTCATTCTCACTCACTCACTCTCACTCATTCATTCTCACTCACTCACTCTCACTCATTCTCACTCACTCATTCTTTCTCACTCAGTCACTCATTCTCACTCACTCACTCACTCTCACTCATTCATTCTCACTCACTCACTCTCACTCATTCATTCTCACTCACTCACTCTCATTCATTCTCACTCACTCACTCTCACTCATTCATTCTCACTCACTCACTTTCACTCATTCATTCTCACTCACTCTCACTCATTCATTCTCACTCACTCACTCTCACTCATTCATTCTCACTCACTCACTCTCACTCATTCATTCTCACTCATTCATTCTCACTCACTCATTTTCGCTCACTCTCACTCACTCATTCATTCTCACTCACTCTCTCACTCACTCATTCACTCTCACTCACTCATTCATTCTCACTCACTCACTCACTCTCACTCATTCATTCTCACTCACTCACTCACTCTCACTCATTCATTCTCACTCACTCACTCACTCACTCATTCATTCTCACTCACTCACTCTCACTCATTCATTCTCACTCACTCATTCATTTTCGCTCACTCTCACTCACTCATTCATTCTCACTCACTCTCTCACTCACTCATTCACTCTCACTCACTCATTCATTCTCACTCACTCACTCACTCTCACTCTGTTTCAAACAATTTCAGATAAGAACTCTCAACAAAGATCAGTCAGACTCAAAGCAGAGGCTCAGCAGAATTTTGACAAGTAGACCCCTAACTTTATTTTTCCAAAATCCTTCACGAATTCTTCCATTCACATAAATAAAAGCTACACCAAACTCACATCTGGCTTTGTTGAAATCTGTATCCTGTAGAGCTGGTTTGGCAGTGGGTAAATCACAATAAGGACATCGCAAAACTCTGTGGGAATGATGCCTCTTCTGTAGTCCCGTGTATGCTCAGACCAAACGATGTGCACCTCATCATTGCCAAGGTGGCGAGTCTGCAGAATAAAATCATAATGCTAATACCAATTTCATGAAATAGAAGAAAGTATCAAGCTATAGGGGGAACCCATGATTGAAAAAAAGATGATGGGAGAGAAAATCATAAGAACTCACTATACTTTCCATGATCAAGGTGACACACTAAAAAGAGGCTTTTTTTTTCATATACAAGTAATCATTATCCAATCCTTCTGTATCAAAGGACCATATCATTTTTCGTGTTACAAGTTCAGTCATACCATGATCAGATGCTTGAAATACAATCTGTATCAATTTAGTATGAAACTATATCAATAACAGTATTTCACATTCACTATCAAGCCACATTCAACCTACCTTTTGCAACATGCTTTGCTCAGAGTACGAAGGCATTCGGGTTGATACATGGAAGATGACCTCAGTCAGTGATGTAGCATAGTACGGAGCAGTCTCTCCTGTTGAGCCATTTCGCTGCAGTCCACCCATAAATCCTGTGTGCGTGGCTAACTCTACTTCCCAGCCAAGTCCTCCTACGAATTCCTGAAAGCATATAAAATGTATATGTATTAGTTTATCTAGAATTCAATCATTCAAAGTAACAGAAAATACTATCAAGCCAAGGTCATTATTAAATTCATAATGCAAAAAAATGCAATATAATTTTCTACTACTTTCTAAAAACAAATCATGATATACAGCAAAACAACAGAGCAAGATTGATAAACATATTAATTTTCATTATCATTTGTTTATCTTCTATATTCACCTCAAAGCCAGCAGATCCACCACTGTTACTAAGGATTGACATTTTGTCTTCCTGCCCTTCTGCTACATATATAACAGCCAGTTTGTGGGTTTCTCGGCATTTCTGAAATGTGAAATTCACTTCATTGCATACTCTATTGGCTGACAAACATAAAAATATTATTTCAAATTCCTATAAAAACATAATAAATATCTATATTACTCTTAAATGAACAAATCCAATGAATAGTTACTAAATCATTTACAAATATCAAACTCTTACTCCATAATTACACAAACCAACATACGTCTAAACACACCTGGTTATCCAAGTTCTTCAGCTCGCGCAGTAACTTGTCGTTCTTCTTCAGCGTGTGAATGGATTTCCGCTTCTCCCACGACGCCAATCCCAACTGGTCGAAGATGAGCCTCCCTTGCTGGAACACTGAACGCGACTCCACAGGGGTTGGGCAACGGACTTCTGGACACACCATGCTGAGAGCAGAAAAAAAAAAAATAATAATAAATCAGTAAAATGGCTTAAAACAGAAATGCACTGGCGCAGATACACATTCATTATGAGTCAAAGAATGGTATGACTTAATACTTGAAGCACTGGCCATTTTAAGATCCAGTGTGTGGGCTTAGTTATGTATATATGGTAAATCATTGCACCTTACTTTCTACAACAGATTTATAGGTTTGGTTCCTTGGTTAGAAATGAGCACTCAAATATACAATAAAAGTCTGTAAAATATCTAACAGACCCAATCTGGACTGCCAATAATAGGATGCAATCATTACACATAACAGAAGATAACAATAAACACCATAAACTACAAGTACATATATATGTACTTGTATGTGCATGTCATTTTTGAGTATGTATGTTTTGGAAGTTACAACTGCATGCATGCAAGAATTATACATTTATATAAGAGCAGAAAAATGAATGAACATACGTATTAATCTTACCATAGACTCTCTACCACTTACTTCAGATCAGAAGAGTGTCTGCAGAAGAACTCATTCTCCACATTGCGCTGGTTGAGTATGGTTGAAATGGCATCATGCTGAGACTCAATGGGAAGCGTTGGAGGAGGACCTACAGCTTCATTCAATGCATGGCCAAACTGCTCCAGCACTTCTGGGCTTGTATGACCCACGTAGTTCAATAGCTGGAGAAACAAATTTCATGTTCAACACATATATTTCAGTGAAGCAAAACTGCCTTATAATAGAAATAAATATCTGTACATACAGATATATAATGAAGAGCCAAAAATACAGAACATGCTGCATTCCATCTCCCCCCCCTACAGCAACTCATGTCATACAGCAACATACATCATCCAAGTTGTCCAGATCCTCTGCCGAATCTTCATGTGTCGGCAAAATCCCCGGTGGTCGGTGCCTGAGGGTGTGCCTTGGGGGGGATGTCACAACAAATGAGGAAGACATGATATCATCGCGGCTGCCAGTGTGGTGCTCCAAGCTGCTTGCCGAACTGAACTGAACTCCTAAACCTGTGTAACCAGGTAGTGGTGGAGGGGGCCCAGGTGTAGCCTGAAAGAGAAATCATGAAAATGACTGATAATAAAAACATTATTCCTAATTACTATGATCAATATAACCATCCTATTCATTGTAATAATTAGTGATCAAATAGTGATGCTAGTAATTTTTATTTTAGGAGTCCTATAATGATAAATACAGACTTTGCCACAGACATAAATAATACACTGAAAGACATTGTACCCCCCCAAAAAAAGACAAAATCACTCACTCCAGGAGACATGCTTGGTTGTTGTTGTGATTGTGCTTGCAACTGCTGCGACTGCTTCATCTGCTGGTGGTGGACGTGAATGGCTGGGTCGGCTATGCACTCACTTGGCGGGGCATAGAGGAGGGTGGCATCCCATGAGAACTTTCCAGAGAGATCCCGCAGGATGAGTCTCACCTGCAGAAAATTAGTTATCTATAATCCTTCCTCTTTTTTAGCTAATGCATACAAAAAACACAATATTTTGCTTCATTTACAAAACACTTGTGGAATGACTACAACTACAAATGCTACCTCTGAATTTGGTGTCTTGAATCCTGCAGTGGCTGCCCCTCCTGGAACCTGCAGTGCTGGAAGCTGTACCAGAGACAGCAAACATGACTGATTGAGGGCAAAAAGCTGAATGTGCGGTGAAAGGAACACCTCAGATGACAATTCATCTCCAGAGAGACCGGGGACATCATCTCCTTCGACCACCAATGAGGAAAGCCTTTGTGCTCCCACACCCAGAGGGAAATGCCATAAGTGGTTCATGATGTGACTTGTGATCTGGAATACAGAAAATGTTCTCTATTCATTCAATCATGTAATTATTCACTTATGATCTATTTATTTATTTATCTCTGACTTGTAATTACTTAACACACTAAACTTAGTATACCAGCATACTTTTAATTTCAAATGCAGATTACTAAGGATTTCACTTAAATCTTACCGATCTTGCAGCTAGTTTTATGGTAGAAGTGCACGAGGCAGGGAAGGAAGACCTCTTGAGGGAGTCTCCCCAGGTTGAGGAATCCACACTCCCACTCCTGCCCAAATCTTCCCGGACATGGCTTTCAAAATCCACAATTTCTATGTTGGGTGATTTTATATGATTGCTCTTTTTACCACTGGTAATAACGTGAAGCACCTGGAAAAATACACCAATCTAAATAATTCCATACACTATTAGGATGAACAAGCTGTAAACAGAGATTATGAGAACTTTACATATGCATTGCTCCCTCTATGACCACCAATCCATATATCTCCATTAATTTTTGGTTGCCTATTTTATTTCCCAAGATAAGCCCCTGTCCTCCCTTCCTTACAATAAATCACACCTTCCATACAATACAGTATAAAGCAAATTACCATTTCACCATAAAAAAAGTATATCTCTCAATGTACATCCAATCTCACATCTAACTATGAATATGCACAATTTCACAGGTGAATCTTTGTTCCACTCAGCTCTCTCTACAAACCTTGAATACATGTTGAAGTAGAGTATGTTTGTCTTGCATAGGTTGAATAAGTACTTGTTGAGGCATGCGCATGACCCACTCCGCCAGGCAAAAGAGGCATGAAAGCACAAGGTGTTTTCCATCAGTACTGACAGTGAGGCTGTTGTCAGTTCCGATAGCTCCTAGTGTCTGACAGAGTACCTAAAAAATGAAGGGAAGATATAAATTAATCCATGAGTGACGGTATTAGAAATCTCTCAACGTCACAGACTCAGGTGATTTCTGGCAACTTTCCTACTGGGAGCAGGAGTCCACTACATGTAGCAGAACTTCCTGCTCAACGCACTCAAGAATTTTGTTTTGATGGCTATACATATGACCCGGCAGTAACAGGTTAATCCTATGGCTTCTAAACCATCATTGCACACATTTATTTATCAATTTCAAGAACTCTCAAAACATCAATTTACTTCAAAACTTACGCCTGAGACAAAAGAAAATTTCCCACAGACTTTTAAATGGCCCACATCAAAACATATACACCTAGAACTTGCATAGCCAGTGACAACATGAAACATACATAACCTTCTCTTCAATAAGAACAAGAATCAGACGAACTTACCTGAATAATTCTAACTGGTACATCTGGATAGTGTGTGAGGAGAGCTTCTGCATGGTCACACATGAGCAGGAGTAAGTCAGCTGCTATCTGACCCACCAAGCGTCCAATCTGTCGACCAGGTAATTCAATGAACATTCGAACAGATGACAAATACTGTTACTGATCATGGAAATTTCTTCTTGCATTGAAAAAACTTAGTCTTATTGCATATTGACAGAAAAAGCTCTGATGGATGTACGATACTTTAATAACACTCTGCTGCAGAATAACAGGAAGGATTTAACTATACCTCTGTCTTTAGAAATATATTATCAAGACCATTCAAATCTTCAAAAACATTCCTACCTTTCTTCATCAATTTACTTCAAAACTTACGCCTGAGACAAAAGAAAATTTCCCACAGACTTTTAAATGGCCCACATCAAAACATATACACCTAGAACTTGCATAGCCAGTGACAACATGGAACATACATAACCTTCTCTTCAATAAGAACAAGAATCAGACGAACTTACCTGAATAATTCTAACTGGTACATCTGGATAGTGTGTGAGGAGAGCTTCTGCATGGTCACACATGAGCAGGAGTAAGTCAGCTGCTATCTGACCCACCAAGCGTCCAATCTGTCGACCAGGTAATTCAATGAACATTCGAACAGATGACAAATACTGTTACTGATCATGGAAATTTCTTCTTGCATTGAAAAAACTTAGTCTTATTGCATATTGACAGAAAAAGCTCTGATGGATGTACGATACTTTAATAACACTCTGCTGCAGAATAACAGGAAGGATTTAACTATACCTCTGTCTTTAGAAATATATTATCAAGACCATTCAAATCTTCAAAAACATTCCTACCTTTCTTCATCAATTTACTTAATTCCATCTACTTTTCTCTGAAAGTGTTCTAAGTTATTTTGATAGTATATTCACAATTGAATGTATTTTTACTCTCTAATACTACAGCATTTAATCAGAGAAATTTTAAAAAACAAAAACTCAACTAAACTGATAACAATTCATGTCATTACAATAACTAAAGAAAACTAAATACTACAAGAACATCTTCGCACATAAACAATGCTACACTCGAATGTAGATTGGCAGCAGAGGATCATATCAACCATTATATTTGCCTTTTATAAAAGAACAAGCATAATCCTGCTAACAGTCTGATCTTTAACTTTGAACTGTTCTCTAATTAATAAACTTTTCTTCAACCTACATCTGCATCTTTAGTCCAGAAAAATTAGTAATAATATCAAAAGAAAAAATACACACACAGCATTTAGTGCATACAATGACCTAATGCATACATATCATATGGCTCAATACTTAATAAAATCTGATTTTGATTCAGTTATTTACTTGTTAACACTAACATTTCTTTGCAAGGAATAAAATAAACTAACACTTCTAGAAGAACTTGAACTTCTTCCAATAGCATACCTATTCCAAGTGTAGTTAATCTTAGAACACAACCACAAAATATAACCAATGAACCTGCTTTATAAGGAATTCAGAGGGTGAGATATGTAGCTTTGCATCCTTCTGCAGATTAGCACAAATCAGTATAGTTGAAGTTTCAGAGACAGATAAAAATCTATTACCTTATACTCTGCATCAAATTAAATGAATACTTAGAATTAATAATAAAAATACTGCCTAAAAATATATCTATGCATGATATGAAGATAGGCAAGTAAAGAGCATGTACAGACTTCAAAGCAATTGCTGGGAAAATGCTTCTTGAAAGCTCTAATTCAAAAAGCTATTTATTAGGATGAAATTACAAAGCAGAAATTGGAATTCCTGAAATGATCAAAGTTTCTAAAGGATCCATTCCTCAGGATTTGTTATTGTCATTTAAATCCTCAAACTTATGATTAGAGAGTCTGCAGGATTATGCCATAAGAGTAAATAAGATCTCAAAAGCCTTGTTCCCCTTCTCTAACTGATTAATCGTCTGCCACCTTGTACAATCAGTCAGGGATCTAACATGCTGTGGATGGGGACATGCCTCTTAACCCCTTGGTGCCGGGTGACGCCGATCGGCGTGTAAACAACCCGCTCAAAAGTTGGCGTGTCCTTTTGTTTTGTACACCCGGCGTCATTGGGTTAAACAGTGAAACACAAAAAAAAGACTGCTTCTTACAGGGGAGTGTACACTGTATGGGCATGTGTATATGTCTATGAGTGTGAGACTGAGTAAGGGAGTGAGATCAAGAATGAGTAGGAGTGAGAGAAAGGATAAGAATGAGAATGAGTGAGAGAGTGAGTGGAAGTAAGGGTCAGACTAAGTGACAGAGTTTGAAAAGTCCAAGTGTGAGGCTGGGTGTGTTCTTTCTTGTGTGTGCATATTTCTATATGTGAAATATAATACGTACCTGCTTCTGCTATTATGCATTTACATTTGTGTTTTTGTGTTTGCGTGCCCTTGCATATGGAAATGTGTGTAAATGTTGTTAAATGTCTTTGCCCTTTTGTACATGCATCCTCAGTGTGAATATGTTTGTGCTCAAATATACATGTCAGTATGTGCTGATGTGTGCATGCTTAAATTACATCAATATATAAACACTCATTACATGTTCGTGTTCAGTATCTGGGATAGTTATAATTGCAATGAGCTCTAAAGGCCTCCAAAAGGTTAATCTGTATTATAAGCATTTTACTATCAATCTCCCCTTCTACAATACTTTGTCCCCCTCATGAAAGATTGTACACACAAAAATAAATAAATAAATAAAATATATAAACAGTTAAAAAACAAATAGACAAACAATTTCATTAGTCTGGCCTACAGAGGACAGCACCTTCCACAACCACAAGTAAGATTAGATCCATTCGTGATTGCTGCCCCCCCCCCCACCTCTCCCCGACACTACAAGACATCACACACGGCAAAATATACCTCAGCACTCTGGGCCAGATGCTTAGTTGGGTGCGTTGAAGGTACTGCTTGCTAGAATGCAAAACACTCATCAGTTCTGGGTCATGCTTTACTGCTCAAATGCCCTCATTGCCCAGGGTAAGATGTAGAAAATGTGTAGTAAAATAAATACACACAAAGTAGTGCCATCATTCATCTCTAGGAGAGTACTTATATTTGAAATGGTTTATGAGAAGAAAACAATCTGTTACATTCTACACACAGGTGTTTGATGGTGTGGACTTCACAAATTGGAATAATGGTGACACAGACTTTGCAATCCAAAATTAGTGTTTTCAATAAAATTTACCTACACATTTTTCACATACAATATATAGTTAGCAGTAATTAGCCTATATAATATCTTAACGACAAATTGTAAACTACAGAATAAAAATTACAAACAACATATATTCAGCAAAGCAATTAAAATGCTGTAAGCATAAAACACACTAATTTCATGCAAAAAATTTCTTGTTATACAGTAATACTCTGAAGGCATGCATAGTCAATTTATTAAAATAAAATACATGACTTTAAGCTCAAGAAGAATTATGAATGTGTAAGCATGAAGTATTCTTCCAACTTCCAAGGTAATCTTCTGGTAAGTTAGTATTATAAAAAGTATAAACTACACTTGATACAGAAAAAAAATAATGACAAGGAAAAAAAGCTACTCATCAACAACACTTAGTC